GGCACCTGATACTCAGTCTAGAAAACGCCAACGGCATTAATCGAGACCAACTAGGGAGGATTAAGTGGTTTGAATTTGGGGAGTTTAAAGTTAGAGTGAGTCGCTATAGTAGTTATCTTGGTGCTTGCTAAGTCTGAATTTTTAGATACACACGCGTCGCGTAATTCCAACCAGCTACTCCGTGGCTAGGTCATTATCGTTGAGGCAATACAATTATATAATCACCTGGTCTAGATATTACGTTTTAGCCCTGAACTAATCCTCTTAGAACGATTGAAGTTCTTTATTCTGTCCATAGGAGTCGCTCGTGATTTATGATTAAACCAAGGAACAATCTAGCGTCCATCACTGCGTAGCGAAAACGACTAATGAGATCGCAAGGATTGTGGACTTGTCTCACGCCGTCCTCTTTAAATTAACTAACTACAACAACATATGTTCAGTTTGAAGTTAGAATCAGGTTCACTACTATCTCTATCAATTAAGAGTTTTTAACAGTAAAGACAACGTTGACGGCCTGCGTTGTTAGCTAATAGTGAAAGGATAATGTAGATTTTCTCCTTGTATATAAGGATGATCTGCGAGGCTACAAAGATGCGGGTGTCAAGCGGATACTGGTGACTGCCATCGAGTGTATAAGTGCGAACGGTGGGGTTTTTTTTACCAATGATCATTTGGCCAGATTTGGGTGGGAGGCAGAGAACCTAGAGGTCTATACCTCAGCCAGAAATAATATAATCAACCAGGTCGCAAAAATAAAAATAAATATATCATAAAAAGAGTAACTTATAGCTATAGCCACCCGTGCTTTGAGTAACTTTAGATATTGTAAAATCTAACTAAATGGCACGAGAATTAATAACAGCTAACTATTATACAACGAATTGGCATCGTCCGCAATTAGGCGTGACGGCGACGATGTGATCGTAAATTTCAGAGTAACCACGATTTAGACTGTTCAGGAGTGGTCACGCAATATATTCAATTGAATTCAAAGTACTAATATTTTGTCTCGTCATAGGGTGCGTCTCCCGACGCCTGTAAGAGCAAGGTAAAGAATTCAAGTATTTTACTCTTGCTTCTCCAAAGTACATCACTGAAACAAGCGCTGCACTGTAACAAGAAGCATTGTTATCACTAACAGCAAAGGACATAATCTAAGTCAGTGCAGATCCTCAATTCATAAAAGGCTGAAAGCAGTAGCTCATAACTGTGACAAGATTAATTTAGAGAATTTGAGGCTTAGCAAAGAGCTAGAGTCGGGTAGACTTAGCACTGTAACGTCTGTCCCTGCGTCCCGAGACACCCCCTATAACGAGACGAATCTATAGTTTTAGAATCACAATTTTTTTCTTAGCAACTTTACGAAGTTGTTATTCATATGTTACTTTCTTCAATTATTTGTCTCTCACGAAACTGCTTAGCAATAACAAAAAGAGTGCGGCTGAATGTGCTGTCGATCGTTTCAATCACGCCACTGATCGCTACTTCTACTGTCCCCCCCTATGTAATTACGACTTTTAAAGTCTTTTTAAAATTCGGAGCCCTTAGGAAGACTGGATGATATGCGTGTACGTATTAAAGAATATAGACCAACCAAAACAATTTAACACTTAACAACACCGCGATTTAGTTACCTTTTATTACAGAGAAACAGACCCGATAGATACCTCACTACCACCAGCATCGACCATACATGTCAAGCCCTCTATAACACTAAGCGAGCCAACACTTGGCTATGTAAGACGATCTATGACTCGCCGTGCTTTGCTTATCCAGGTGATTAATGGCCAAGCTAAATGACGAATTTCCGCGAGGCATACAGGACGCGTACTCGGGCTCTTGTCTAGGAACCCTAATGTGTGTCGCGAGTGGCTTTCTTCTTGGTGGGTAGGTAAGATAAGGTACACAATCTGGTAGAGGTGTATTCGCTGATCTCAGGCCTACTGGGGGGATTCTGCATGGGATATAGGTAGGTATGTGTTTATGGTGGAGAAAATGAGGAACATGAAAACGTACGGAATTTCATCTGTATATAGAAAATTCAAAGAATTCTTTCTGTGGAAGTTGAGGGCTACGTAGAGGCATGTTATTAAATGTTACAGTGAACGATAATGACCAGCCAGAAACTAGAATGCAGGCTGTAAAAGCGAGCCTAGGTGAAGAAGTTGGAAAATATGGGCCGCTGATGCGTTTTTCCCGATCTGAGAACGTAATCGGTAAACAGTATTGGTAGGGTCTCTGTAACACTTATGACATCCATAGCTTTGAAGTTCTGAGATTCAAGAAGATCTTGATTTTGCATAATTCTCATAAGCAAGTTGAGTGATACTCGATGCAAATATCGATTTCGTTGCTGCGGCTCAGAAGCGAAGTATTGAAGTATTGCTGGAGGGAATTCGCAAGGTGCCGCAATAAATGTGAAGTCAGCAGTTGGGACTTGGTAGGACTGTAAAAGGTTCTTTGTGGTAAGTGGGAAATTAAGTGTCGAATTCTGGGTGTAAATCGCTGACATAACTTCCTCACTCACTTTTTTGCAAGGTCGGTAAGAGATTTGGTCGTTGCTTTATGACCACCCAAGGAACTTGATGATTGTAGGAGAAATATGAAGCTGGTATGCTGAGTTGTTTTGAAGTAGTGTAGTTGATGAAGGAATCTGAAAGCCAACTATGCTAAATCAGTTGTTTGACCGTGTAAGTCTGTGATGCTGTTTTTGGCTAGATGTAAGAGGCGGGCATTACTCTAACACACCGGAGTTATAAAAATATTATCCTAAAGACCTTATATAACTAAATTAATTATATAAATATTTTAGAATAATCAATATTTTGCACTTCTTATTAACCCAAATGATATAGGACCTTTCGTTTACTTGTGCTAGAGTTATAGTATAATAACTTTTAATAGCGTATATAAAGTAAAGCTCGCCTCTCTTACTCTACATATACGCAGAGTAATGGCCAGGTCTTCGAAATAAACACAACATACTCGATGCGTTTTGGGTGCTACCACTTTCATCGTTCTATATCTTCAAACAGATATTGGCATAAAAGAACCACGGCTGCTTGTGATTCTATCCGAAGAGATGTTACACAGGACCAAGCGAGAAATTCATATGGAAAGTAACGCGTTTGGAGGGGCGGATGACAGACTAGTTGAGGTTATTAGATGGAAAAAGTACTGCCCAAAGAGTACAATATCATGCAGAGTGGATTGTCCATACTGGAAGCATGGAAAGAAACATGAAAGTGGCCAATGGGGTAGCTTGCAAAGTTACATGCCGCTCACTGTACCCAACCTAGCTCCCGCTGGATAACAAAAATGGCAGAGACCTCTTTTACCTTATCCTGATTTAACTAAAAACCAATATGATATATCATTTATTTGGGGTAATAAAAATGATATCGAAAACGATAGCACAATAAAGGCTGTTGGTCTAGATATTTTAAACATTTTAGTATTTAGAATTAACTTACGCTAATGGTTGAAAAATGAATCTCTGTCACTTTTCTCGTCCGCCGGGAGCCTAGGCACGTGGAGGCAGTACAAATACGGATTCTAGAAGGGCACACTACATTGTCATACACAGCATTCACTGACAGTACTCTAGATTTCTTGCGCTGTAGTATTGCTGATCTCATCACGCCACTAGTCTAAGTTAGATACAATACCATTACATAACAGAAGCTAATCTGCATTGAGAAATACAGTGCAATATACCACTTATGCTTAGTCTGTTTCCACTGCATGGTTCTTTCTGATATGTCGCAGGCACATATGTAGTACGGAAGTACCTAGGAGTAAGAGGGGTAAGACAGATGCACGAAGACCACCGGGAAATGGAGTTGTAAAGGGTGTTGGATTTTCATATGTATGGATTGCAGCTGGAGACCCACCTCGCCTATCATGCTGCATTTGGCAGCAAGCCCGCGAAGGCTTGCCCCATCATACCCATGCCATGTTGCGGCACAGGTTGGAAGGGGTTTGCAAGCATGAGTTCCGCAAGTGTGCAGGGCAGGTGAAAGGTAGGCTTTTGTGTGGCGGAAACATGAAGCCTGGTGAAGCTAGCATGATGCTGTGTTGATGTGCTGTACAAACCCTCGAACCGCTCGCCAAACCCGTCCCCGTCATACCAGTCACTCCAGTCCAGTCCCCCCCTGTGGCCGACTAACCGAGTTCCATCATTTTGACGCACGGATCTAACACTGCCCGTCATACTAAGGTTGTACGGTCATCGCTCATCGGTTCGTAGCTGGCTGCTCACTGGCTGGTCTCGCTGGTGTACAGTAGCTTCGGAGAAATCCTAATGAATTGCCGCTCACGTTTTTATGTGGAGCACAGGCAAGCCACTCCACCTCCACCGCCACTGCTGGCTGCAGCGAAACAAAAGCTTCCACTGCCCGCTGCAGCTCCAACTGATGTTGCTACTTTAGGTGAATGGGAGATGTGAGTGAATTAGGTAATCTGCAAATAGATACATACATACCACGTGGCTCCCATCAACTTTTTGGCTGATAGGGGATGGCTTCCCGTAAGAGATGAGGAGTACCCCGTATTGCGGTCACGGTATAGTACCTATACCGTGGATCTACAGCATACTGTACTCCGTAGTGTAGAGTAGGTAGTAGGCAAGCTTCCATCGCAACCGCAACAACTGTTGCATCCCCCGGCTGCAAGCTGCAGAGAGAGACAACCATGTGGAGGAGCGAGCTGCGAGTGGGAGATGTGGGAGTAGTGTGGGTACGTGTGGGTACGTGTGGGTGATTGGTGGGGTGCTCTAGTTCTTTTCCAGCGCAATGACCCACGTCGCCTTGTGCGTTTCCCAGATAGGCAGGCCCAATCAACGGAGGCGACCCGCTCGGTCGTGCTTGCTCTCAAAAAATACAAAAGACAGGGACAGGGGTATCATTTAGCGTCCGTTTAGCGGTGGGTAAGGGGAGTTGAGATGCGGAAGACTTATTGTGGGCGGGCAGAGCAGCTCCTCAGAAAATAGCCACCTGCACCTACTGTACACCAGCCCAGCCCAACGAACGCACCTCACTTGCCAACTATCTTCTCATTTCTCCTCTCCTTCCCTCCTGAGGATCATCGTCACCTTTGATACCCCATCACCATCAACACCACCAACACCATCACACGCGCCTCCCACAACCAGAAGACGACATTTGCCTCGCACTCAACACCAACACTCGCATTATCTGCTACTGCTGCTGCTCCCAACAGTTACCAGCGCAGTGGATGCCAAGCTCGTCCCCAAATCACTGTGCGCGCAATCCCTTCTCCAAAGTCGCAAACGCGTGCGATTGTTCAACACCAGCCCTGTTTGACGCACGCCCACACCCTCGCCAGTCTTGATCGACCGGAACATCTGGACAGGAGTCCAATTCACCCCATCAACACCACTATCACCACTCGGCGCATCATCGTCGCCGTCCCCCAGCCTCGGTGATTCCGTGGCGACAAATATTCAGTCTTGACTAGTTGAAGTAAACATCTCCTTCTCATCGACCTTCTTCCGCGTACACCATCCTCAATCCTTCCACACCGCGACTATGTCGATGTACAATCATCGTGGTTTGGGCCCGGCCCCAGGCAACACACGATTGAATGAGTTGCTGGACCAGGTTCGCGCAGAGTTCGAGAACCAGGCTCGAGTGAGTGGGGAGGTTGAGCAGTCCAGTAAGTCGCAAACTGATACTAGTCACCACGACCGCATAGTGTGGTGACAGCTCTTTGATGTGAGACTAGTGCTAATATGGGATCTAGTGACACATCAGATCAACGAAATGGCCATGGTACGAGAGAAAGTCTTTGGAATGGAACAGCAACATCTTGCAATCAAAGCAAAGTAGGATCTCCAAATCCCTCGTCGTGGCCACGGAGCTGACATGAATTAGGTATGAAGAAGAAATCGCACGTCTGCACCGTGAACTTGAAGCTAGAGGAGGAGCACCTCGTCCTGCCGGCATTGGTGGTCCAGGTCCACAACCTTCGAACGCTGGCCCTGCCCAACAAGCACCACCATCACTCGGTCATGGACCAAGCAATTTGTTTGGAGGAATCATGGCTGGTCAAGGTCAAAATGGACCGGGTCTCGCTCCACCACAAGCACAAGAACAACAGCATGGCCCAGGTCCTCTTCAACACCAAATGCCACAGCCTCCTCCACCACCTCCTCTTCAACAAGGCCCGCCTCAGCAATCCCAACAACAGCAACAACAACAACAACAACAACAACAGCAACAACAGCAGCAGCAACAGCAGCCTCCATTCCAAGGTAGCGGATATCCTCAACCACCAGCCCCCAACGGTTATGGTGTACAACAGCCTCCTCAGTCTACCGCTTCTCCAGGTCCTGGCAAAGGTCGTCCCTTGGGACCGCAGCGTGGACCAGGCGGACCAGCAACCCCACAATTGAACCAGCAAATGCCATATCCAGACCCAAGAGCCGCAGCCTCACCACAAGTTGGTCACCCTAATCCACATGCTTTAGGTGTCGTCCCTTTCAACAGAGTCGGAAATGCCCTCGCGGAATTGGACCTTGAACGTCTACCAGCCCACCAAAAGAAGGTTGATTCAGACTGGTTTGCCATCTTCAACCCGGAGATTCCTCGTGTTCTTGACGTTGATCTCGTTCACACCCTCCAACACGAAAGTGTGGTTTGCTGCGTTCGCTTCAGTCATGATGGCAAGTATGTTGCTACCGGTTGCAACCGATCAGCACAGATCTTCGATGTCATTACTGGCCAGAGAATTCATATTCTTCAAGACGACAGCGTCGATTCTGTTGGTGATCTTTACATTCGAAGTGTGTGCTTCAGTCCCGACGGAAGATACCTTGCAACCGGCGCCGAGGATAAATTGATCCGTGTATGGGATATTGCTTCCAGAACCATTAGGAACACATTTGCGGGTCACGAGCAGGACATCTACTCTTTGGATTTCGCCCGCGATGGTCGCACAATTGCTTCTGGAAGTGGTGACCGCACTGTTCGTCTTTGGGATATCGAGGCAGGTCAAAACGTCCTCACTCTTAGCATCGAGGATGGTGTGACAACTGTAGCCATTTCACCTGATACCAAGCTTGTTGCTGCTGGTTCCCTAGATAAGAGTGTTCGCGTTTGGAGTGCCGAGTCGGGTTACTTGGTCGAGAGACTTGAAGGACCCGATGGCCACAAAGACTCTGTCTACTCAGTTGCCTTTGCTCCAAATGGAAAAGATCTCGTATCCGGAAGTTTGGATAAGACTATCAAGATGTGGGAGCTTGTTGCACCACGTGGTGGTCATCCAAACAATGCACCAAAGGGCGGACGTTGTATTAGAACTTTTGAGGGCCACAAGGTAAATCTACTCGAATTCCTCTCTCGGAAACATTCACTAATAATCCATAGGATTTTGTTCTTTCTGTTGCTCTTACACCCGACGGTAACTGGGTTCTTTCTGGCTCCAAGGACCGTGGTGTTCAATTCTGGGATCCTAGAACCGGTCACACTCAGCTCATGTTACAGGGCCACAAGAACAGTGTCATATCCGTCGCACCAAGTCCAAGTGGTGGATCTTTTGCTACAGGTAGTGGTGATATGAGAGCTAGAATCTGGAGCTACAAGCCATACAACTCTTGATGTGGTTTACGGGGGGAAAGCATTAACATATCCGGCGGGATTATATGACATGCACGAATAAACAAGGCGAACGGTTGGCGTAAACGGTGGAGACTCATGTTCAAGGGGAACTTTCTTATGGGGTGAGCTCTTTTTGGACTGTATCTTCTACTTCTCGGTTGGATTTTGCGATTTCAAGTGTTCTTACCTTAGGGATAACGACGGAGGGAGAAGTGTAGTAGAACAAAGTACAGTAAAAATGTTAAGTTATTAAGCAATGATCGTGAAATACAGCTTGTAATTTATTCGAGGTAGTGAGCTGGACAAAACCTGGTCAAGTACGATGGAGAGGCTGAGATAACCACCTCGGGGAACCGAGCTTCAAATTTCCGTTTTCCGCCCAAGCTCCAAGACATCACAACCATCTTTACAAAGCCGTGATCGAGTTGGACCTGCTCCTACTTATTCCACCCCTTATATCGCGAATTGATAGTCACTTTGAGCTCTCTTTTCACACCCAGATCGAGACTTGGACCTCCACATCCCTACCAAACTGCCGCTTCTCTACCAATCCCACTGCACACACAACCAAACACAGAGCAAAGTCGCCTACAACAACAACCCTCCCCCTCATACCACACGCGCGCCAAGATATCATATCCGTACGCGCAGACGTAAGATCTCTCGTAGACGCTATTCCGCAAAATTTATAGTTCTCACCAGACCAACAAACAAACAGGCTACGAGCAAGGACGAACCACGATCAAGGCCTGCTCACGAGCAACCACCAGAAGCGGCATAAAGAGAAAGGAACGAAACGAGTAAACATGTCTTTCGAATCACCCCTCCCTCCCTACAATGCCTCGGATCCAACGGCCCAGTTCCTCAACTCGTCGTGTTTGGATTTCCTCATGATTGAATTGGTTCCTATGGCGTGGAGGGTGGTGAGGGAGGTGGATGGGATGGGGGCTGTGAGGGAAGGGGGTGCGGAGGGGGAGGGAACTGTGGTTGG